AAATTAATGCAATGGAGACTAAAAAACAATACAAAGAATTAATGAATCAGAGTTGATTCTTTGAAAGAATAAAGATAATAGATAAACCCCTAGCCAACCTTATCAAAAAAAGGAAATAAAAAAATGAAATTCATGCAGTAAGGACTGAAAGGGGTGAAATCACTACAGATCCTGAAGAAATTCAGAAGATCTTCAATACTTACTTTGAATATCTTTACTCTAGTAGGATGGAAAAAACAGAGGAAATGGACATATTTCTAGATACATATCAATTACCAAAACTGAATGAAGAAGATGTAAAAATCCTGAATAACAATATCAGCTAGTGAAATTGAGAATGTAATAAAAAAACTTGCCAATGAACAAAAGCCCAGGTCCTGATGAATTCACAGCTCAATTCTCCAAGAAATTTAGAGAAGATTTAACACCAATTCTCCTCAAACTCTTTAATGAAAATAAAAGGGAAGGAATTCTCCCCAACTCATTCCTGGAGGCAAGTATTATCCTGATACCAAAACCAGAGAAAGACCCAACCAAAAAGAACTATAGGCCAATCTCCCTAATGAATATAGGCACAAAAATTCTCAATAAAGTACTAGCAAACAGAATACAACAAATCATCAAGAAGATTATACACCATGGCCAAATGAGATTCATCCTGGGAATGTAGGTATGATTCAATATACACCAATTAATTAATGTAATACAACAGGTCAATAGAGGAAAAGACAAAAATCACATGATCATCTCCATCAATGCAGAAAAAGCCTTTGATGAACTGCAACACTCATTCATGATGAAAACCCTACAGAAAATAGGAATAGATGGCCTTTACCTCAATCTGATCAAAGCCATCTATGATAAACTAACAGCTAACATCGTACTAGATAGTCAGAAATTGAAATCTTTCACTGTAAAATCAAGAGCAAGACAAGGATGTTGTGTTGGTTACTTTTATCTCCTTGCTGAGACAAAATGCCCAATGCCCAAAATGAAGGAAGGAAAGGTTTATTGAGCTTACAGTTTGTGGAGGTTTCAGTCCATACTTGGCTGGCTCTGAAGAAGAAGATAACAAAGCAAAAAGAGCAAAGGGGGGAATGGCAGCAGAACAGCAAAGCAGCCAGAGCAAAAGGGAGAAATGGTGGCAAGCAGCCTCTTTCCCTCCCTTACTGTGTAAACAGCATACCCCCACCTAAGGGGAGTGTACCTCTCACATAATCTCCAAG